CCACTAAATATCCAGCGCGAAGAATTACGGACAACATGCTTTGCGCCGGTTACAAAGAGGGAAGCAAGGATTCCTGTCAGGTAATCAGCGACAAATATATTTCTCCTTTGCAATTGTCATTGTTAACATCTCTGTTTTGAAACACATACAAACGAACTTATCATATACTTACTTTATATTTCCTTTAAGCGTACGCGTGCACTAAGTGCGCGCACACGTTTCATTTTCAAATTTACACGAACAAAATGTCATTCCAACTTGTTCCGTGTTTTTCCTAGTTGAGATTTTCATGTGTAAACCGTGTCCTTTTGGAAATGTACTCCGTCGATTCGCCGGAATTACTATCGGTGTTATCAAGAGGTTGTTCATTTTTTGATTTTCAAAAATGAAATGTTTCACTCAGTCGAAAATTTTTCATAAGGGATTTATTATATTACCCTTAAAGAATGTAGAAGTATTTTTTCATTTAATTCTTTTACAAAATGGACCTCTATTTCATCCATGGTCTTGTTCCCTGCTGCCATACGGTTTGACTTAAAACGAAATATCAGAATTGTAACGAAAATACTGCCAGTTTGTGCATTAATCCACGTAAAACTGACCACTTATATTACGTACTAATGTTTTATTTTAAATACTGACCCAATAAATAACAGCCTTAATGTATTATTATCATTTGGCTCCTGATGAAGCTACTGCTGCCGATAGCTGCAATGCTGAATACGCGTCTGAAAATATTTCCAAAAGGACGCAGCTTGCACCAGGAAACTAACAATAAATCGTACGAATTTGGGCTGTGATAGCCTCTCATTTTAATTTGTTTTATCAGGGAGACAGTGGTGGCCCTCTACATATCGTTAACGAGCAGACATACGACATAGTTGGTAAGATCTGTGCTCCATTATAAACTAACGAATAAAATTATTTGTGGAAGAGATGTAAGCGGAGTCATAAATTCGATTGCTACTAAATCAAGTTTCAACGATCGACATTTTTTGAAAAAAACAGAAAGAATTGAAAAAGCTTGTATAACACATAATAAAATTAAAACACATAAAATATATCCTAAGATCAGTCTAGGATTTTATAGTTTTCTACGGCACCAGAAATCCTGTTGCACAATATTGTCAACACAGAATTCTTTACAAATTCTTCTAAAAATCTTTTTATCAATCTTGCCCAGTTGAAATTGGCAATGCGTCGATCTAAGAGAATTGAAATCGTTATTTCACGGTGTGCAGTAACTTTCAACTAAAACTTGAAATATATCGCTGCTTGGCATTGATAGCGGCATAACTCAAAAACTAAATTTCACAGGAGAAGCAGGTTAAAATTTGCATTTCACTAATAATTAAATACTGATCGTATAATCTGACCTGCTCTCCGGTGTGAAACTAATGAACTTAGAAATGTGTCAATATACACAACAAAAATATTATACTCGTGCAGTTTATTTCCGCAAATAAAAATAAAAACTGACATTTTTTCAGTTACGCCACTATCAATACCAAGCAGCGATACACGCATTTCTTTGACACGCTACGAAATTTACAACTCTTCTTATATCTTACACGGTGATTACACTTCACCGCCGAACAGAATCACAATACACGTTTAATTCGCAGGAATCGTGTCCTGGGGCGAAGGATGCGCGAAGCCTGGTTATCCTGGCGTTTACAGCAGGGTGAATCGTTACCTGACGTGGATAAAACGCAACACCGAGGACTCGTGTTACTGTTAAATGAATAATAATCACCATACTCGCTAGACATTTATATCTACACTCAAATTCATCGCCCGAATCGACTAAAAACACGATTACTCACAGTCGAACTGAAGCTTTCGAATTTTTCCGAAAGACTAAAATTACCGTTCTTGTCCTCGCGGAACCTACTTCTTCCCCCCAAAAAATTAGCAGTTTCGACGTATTTCTGCGCAACGCGACCGTGAAGCGTAACGCGAGGACAAGTCAATCGTTTCTCATTGCGTATTTATTTGTCAACTGTATTTAGATTAAAATAAGATCTTCTTCTTTTGTATTTACAATGAAATTGAGAAATAGGCTGGCTACGCTGGTGCTCTCCAATTTGCTATTCTACGTCGACACAGGTGTACGTACGCGACGGGACAATTAAAAGTTAAGGCACGTATCGCGCGACTGACAGGACTCGTAACATTGAACGTACGGGAAAGAAAGTCGTTGGACTTCCTCAGTTTCTTTCGACGTGGAATTTCAGTGAAAACTCACGTACTTACTTGCTGCCCACAACTCTCACGGACCTTTAATTTGTCGCGCTGCGAACAAACGTGAAGACACTTGACGCGCGTAAACATTTCTATCGTTCTTACAGATGTGCGTACCAACGACACGCTAATTAGCTTCGATCTGATTCAAGCTCAATTGACAAATGTTCAGTGGTGCTCAACGTAGTATCGCGCTTTGTCTTGTTTTTCCTGGCAGATATGAAAATTTCGCGAATTTGAAACTTAAACGTTCATGATCACGGAGTGCAATATTAACCACCTGCCTTGCAATTTTTGCTGAGGATTATACAGGTTAACTTCGATTTTTCACTGTTTTAACACAGTGTTCAATAGGAAAAGGAAGTCTTAAGTCAAAAATATAAATTCAATAGAAAAGTAACTCTTGTTTTAGCGTATTTGCGTAAGGCAAAGGGTTAACGATGATACGAATGTACTATAAAAGCTGTACATATACAGGGTGGACCAATAAAAATTACTACCGCCCTGAATATCTCCAGAATCATGAAAGTAAGAGAAAAATTTTTGGAATAAAAGCTGTGCAGCATAGAAGGGACCATCGTATGGTCGTAACGATTTTTTTATGGGTGGAGTCGCTGAAGAGATGCGAAGGTCGTCCTTATTTTCGTGACGACATGACATACTTTTTTATTTATATATTAATAACAGCCCTTAAAACGAGTGCAAAGACTTGTGACACATCGGTCAAGGTAATGGAAGGTTGATTACATTGTTACTACTGTTTCAGCGATGTCAGAATTTGCGTTAAAGGTCTTTGTGTTTTTTTTTAAGGACCGCTGTTAACAAATAAATAAAAAAGTGAGCTTCGTATCTCTTCAACGACTCTACCTACAAAACAATCGTTGCAACCTTACGATGGTCCTTTTCGTACTAAAGAAGTTTCTTGGTCCATCCTGTACAGGACAAGATCAACGTGTAAACGGAGAGAATAGGAATGGCAAGAAAATGTTTAGAAAAAGGACGTAGAGAATCATTCGAAGAACTTAAATTTGCAAAAGTAGATAAAGCAGGGGAGTACGCAAGAAGAGCAAAGAAAACAGAGAAACAGGAAGGAAACAACGAATTTACCTACTGTGAGGTAAATAAACCTCAAGTATAAAGGTTTACGTTTCTCGCAGTAATAATTTCGGTTGATAACGAATTTTCATCAATTATCGAATCACTATACTCAACATGTACTCACTATTTCTAAATAATTTAGAACAATCTATGCAATGGCATATCACATAAGCATAATTACATAAACATCGCAATCATAAAATGTGGATGCAAGAAGACCTGACGATGGTCGTTCGCATAATTCTTTTACTATCAGTAGTGCGAGTGTTAAACATATTTATTAGTCAATACTCAAAAAAGCGCAATACGCTGGAATTACTTAAGGGGTCATGTACGTTTCTCGGCACTGAAAAGCGGTCAATGTTTGAGAATGATTGGGGGATAAATTATTAAGCCGATTGGTTAATTCTTTTTGCATTGTAAAAGTACATGTTTGTAGAGTAGAAGACAGGAATGAAAGATTGAAAATTGTTGGAAATAGGGATGTCTGCGTGCAATGGCGAAAAACGGTTCTTTTTGGCACCGCCTCAAACGGTGGACACGATTCAGTCCGTGGAAATGATCAGAAGTAACAAATTTCCGTTTTTTAACATTATTTGCGAACGTAGTTCTCGGTTCTAAAAGAATTTAGGCAACGGTAACAATTTGAAAGAAAGGGTCGTGATTTTCATTTAAAAAACCGCACATTTTCTTTTGTTACTCAAAAATTGGTTCAATTTATTTAAAAAATCCCTCGTGAGCCGATAGTAACTCTCATTTAGAACATGTATGCAGAAAATGAAGTTAATCGGATGAACAGTGAGGCACTTATCGCGTCCACCATTTTGAAAAATGCTGCTTCGAGAAAAACGCGTTTGTAGTTTTGTCATGGTGCTCGCTATAACTTCGTCAATAATTCGAATTTCGAGTTCGTTTTGGGCTTCAAATATTTCTGCGATATGTACCTTTCAGAATATATAAAAAAATCGACTTTTTGAAATTGAGAAAAGTGCAGGACCCCTTTAAGAACTGCGATATGTCGACGCCATTTTTTTACCATATGATTTTATACGAACGTGTCTAACATGTGTTACTTCGTGTCAATAAAGACATTCGAAGTGTTCGTAATGCTCAAACGGTTGGACAGAACAATCTGACCACTGAACAGTATGGAAATATAACTATTGCTAAAATTTGAATCTTTTTAATGTGTTATTTTGTCGCACATCAAACGTCGGTAACTAAGAGTCCTTCCGATTTAGTAGCTTCCTCCTCTGTCGATTTAACGATTGCCTCTAATTTATCAGACAACCAATAAGTTTCCATGTCACCCTTTCCCTGCGCAACACAGTAAATCATTGAGATATACGACTTGGTGAACAAGAGCCTGTAAGTAAAACTTTTTGCGATACAAACCTTGACCCAAACTAATCCGCGTGATTCAACGTGGTAACGAGCCTGCGGTAACAGCGCTTTAGTGTCCGATGATATGTGCACTTTTCCCGGCTGTATCGTGAAAATGCAAACGAAAAAATGTAAATGCGACACAGTTTAACACGTTGACTGCCAAACTACGAGATAACTCGTAGTTGGCAGTTTGCTGGTAGAAGTTACATCCTATTCGGAGACGACCGACCACGAGATAATTCGAAAGCATTTTTTTTTGCAAAAAGACAATTAAAATTAAAGTCATAATATAAAAATTAATATGTTTGTTTAATTCTATACAATAAATTGAAAAAAAAAAAAAAATGTTGGCAGTCAACGTGTTAATAGTTACACCAGAGCAACGGGAATAAGCGTAATTGTTTTTACTCTGTTCTGAAATTATTGAACGAAAATACAGTAGAATGCAATTTGTCATATGTTCAGACTGTTTAAATGGAATTGTGATTTAAAAGAAATTAAATATGGAAATAGAAAAATTGGATAATATATGATTCCGTCCTGAAAGTTGAATTCAAATCGAGTAATTATATTCGTAAAAAAATATATTAGAAAATTTAACCCTTTCGCTG